CACTGACGATGCCGACTACGATGCCAGCGAAACGTCTGGGAATATACCACGTCCACGGTCCGACTTTGGACATTATTATGCATACAAGGGACTCTGGACTAGCTGCGTTCCTCTAAGTATTCCTACCAATATGACCAAATTGTGAAAACAAGGTCAAACAGCTTATATACAATGTTTCTTTTTATTGGGAAGATTTACTGCAAAGTTTCTGTATTGAACACTTTTTTTAATTTCCTATATTTATATATCACAAATGCGATACTTCCCTAATATTTATTACTTTTTTCTAAGTTTTTTCTCTTACACGATAGTTCTTAGCATATTTAATCCACCAAATAGCATTTTACTACACTAAGCTTATCTTTTGTTACAACCTAGTGATACTCAAGACGACAATATCCACGAGTTCAGCGATTTTCCCGCCCTTGGTCTATCTTATCGGCGCGGATTGCGTCAGTCCCTGTTTCCAGATGCATCCACTCCAACCAGCGCCATCGCTAATGATCTTGAGGGTCCCAGTTGGCTTAAGCTCTTAGCCCTAAACCTCCGACTTTCTGATCAGCCTCCTACAGAATCCCCTAAATGTTGCAACTTTTTTTCCAGCCGCCGAGATCCGATGATGGCAAATGCTCAAATGTCATGCTTATGCCAGTTTCCTATGCTACCTATTCCATACTGGCAGTCTGGGCTAGCTCAGCTATTAGCAGCTCGTATGCGCGTTTCATTGTATTCTCCCGCAGGAGGTGATGCGGACTCCCTATCTGACCGTGTTCGTCAATTGGGTGGACTTCAGGTTGTCCAGGTGGTGCTGGGAGAGCTGGATGATTTATTAACTACTGTTTTGTTGACTGGACTATCTGGCGAATCGAATCATGGTCCTTCATCTACCGAAGAGGTGCAGGCTGGCGCATCATCCTTTCGGTTCGGTGGACTCTGTCGTATTTCTGTCAATCTCCGAGATATGCTGACAAGTGGTCAGCGTATTCTTGATGCTTTTTCAGCTAGTGGTTTCTGCTGCTGTCTCTCTTTACCGATGCATGAAAATAGTAAAAAGGACCAAGAGACAGAAAGTGTAAGTATGGGTTTCTTTCCAATTAAATAATTGAGCAATATTGAGCTATTTTAAATTAGGATTGACGTTCATATCTGCATGCGAAACTTCCATCCTTTATAACAGCTAAACCTCACATTTTAATGACTGACTAGCCATTATATAATAGGGGCTTAATTTCCTAAGAAAGCTATCTAGATTTGTTTTTTTTATATAAGTAACTTTCGAGACTTTGAGTAATTCTTGATTGAAAGCAAGCTTAATCACTGGATCATTTAAGGCGATTAAATACTGATATTTGAGTTTTTCATAATGAGATGAATAGGCCTTCCAAAAACTTATCTAATCCAGGATGGACTATACTTTTCACCTCTACTTTGTCACATCTGAGCCACCAGCAGAATTTTAAATAAACTACAATTCGCACTGGATAAGGTCGTTTTTTAAGAAGGTAAGACAAAGTTAACTTCAGTAGTCTCATAAGGCTTATTCATCTCATTGTGGGAAAAATTCATCAGTCCTTAAACTATCCTAAGTGACCTTGAGTGGCTAATTTCCTGTGTATTTTTGTGCCATTTTAACTTTTTTTAGATAGGCTCGCACAACCAACCTCCTTATTACTGAGTAATTGTTGGCCCAATATACCTTAGCTAAAATTCCATACATAATCACCAACAATGTTGGGAAGTCAGCCTGGTTTGTGCTCAGATCCTCAAAAAATGTATTCAATTATTGAACTAGCATGCTACTTTTATGTCATATTATATTTTTTACGTCATTTTTTATATAAATTTGGACTTAAGATCAAATTTAAATTATATGAACTTTTTATGTTTACTCTCATCGTCACAGGAAACGATATTTTAAT